CGCCACTGTGCCTGGCTCAGCCACACATGTATATAAATTTTTCTTGTTTCTCCAAATATTTTCACATTTCTCTTGCAATTTAATTTTTGACCTCTAAATTATTTAGGAGCAGATTATTTAATTTCCACATAGTTTTATTTTTTAAGTGTTTTTCTTTTTTTTCAGTAGTTTACTATTATTGGTTTCTGTTTTCATTTTGATGTGGTCAAAGAATGCAATGTTATTTTCATTCCTTTAATAAAAGTTTAAAGTTTATGGCCCAGCCTGTAATCTTTCTTGGTGTGAATGCACAATGCATTCACTTGAAAAGAATGCATATCCTGTATGTTGGATGTAGCATTCTATGAATGTTAGTAACTCAAACAAGGTGGCTACTAATGTAGTTTAGTTCATTTATGTGTTCACTGAATTTTTGTCAAAATTCTACCAGTTGCTGAGAGGAGAGATTAAAATTTCCTAAAATTGTGGAATGTCTATTTTCCCCTTTAATTCTGTCAGTTTTTGATTTGAGTACTTTGAGGCCCTATTATTAGGCACTTACAACAGGTAATTATGTCTTCCTGATAATTTGACATTTTTGTCATGAAGTGTCTATCTCTGGCAATCCTGTCTGTCTTGAAGTCTGTTTTATATGAAATCAAAATAGCTACTCCAACTTTCTTATGTTTGCTGATTATCTGGGATAGGTTTTTTAATTAATTTACTTTCAATCTGTCTATGTCTGTATTTAAAGTGTGCCTCTTGTAAGCAAATATATTAGTAGGGTCTGCCTTTTTATTGATTATTTCAATCTCTGATTTTTACCTGGAATGTTTAGACCATAAGCATTTAAATTAATATCGGTATATTTGGATTTAGGTCTGTTCATATATTATTTGTTCTCTTTCTTGTTTTTTTCCCTTTGTTGTTCTTTCAGAGTATTTGAGTGCTTAGTGTCCCATTTAAATGTATTTACCATAACTGGGTTTTTGTCTATGTCTCTTTGTATTTTTTTAAGTGGATCCTTTAGGATTTATAATATTCATATTTATCCTTTAACAGTCTATTTAGATTTTATATCTAACACTTTGCTTAATTGCAGAAACCTGGGCTGGGGGTGTGGCTCAAGCGGTAGTGCACTCGCCTGCCATGCGTGCAGCCCAGGTTCGATCCTCAGCACCACATACAAACAAAGATGTTGTGTCCGCCGAAAACTAAAAAAAATAATTATTAAAATTCTCTAAAAAAAAAAAAAAATTAAAAAAAAATTGTAGAAACCTTACAGCCATATAGATTCTTTTAATCTTTTGCCCACCTCCCATTATAGTATAGTTGTTTTATGTATTGTACCTACATACCATATATTGAAAAACTCTACAAGATAATGTTAAAATTTTGCTTTAAAATTTTAAAAATATTTACCCAGTGTTTACCATTTCTGTTGCTTCATTCTTGAAAATCCAAGTTTCTCTCTGGTATCATTTTTCTTTGGCTGGAATTTCTTCAGCTTTAGCATTTCTTAAATCTCTTAGTTTTTATTTATTTGAAGAAATATATATATATATATATATATATATATATATATATATTTTAGATAACTTCATTTTATTTGTTTATTCTTTCTTTTGTGTGATACTGAGGATCAAACCCAGGGCCTCACATGTGCTAGGCAAGCATTCCACTGAGCCACAACCCCACGCTGCCCCCCCACCCCCGAAATATTCGTAAGTGTATTTTCACTGAATGTAGAATTCTGAGTTGACAAATCTTTTCTCTCAGGATCTTACAGATTTATTTATCTATTTATTTATATTGGTTCTTTTTAGTTATACATTGCAATAGAATCCATTTTGACATAATTATAAAAGCATGGAATATATCTTGTTCTAATTCAGTCTCCTGTACCTCTCCTTTCCCTTCCCTCCCTCCACCCCCTGGGATCTTACAGATATTGTAGCATTGTCTTCTGGCCTCCTTGATTTCTGTTGAGAAATCCATAATGGTGTGAATCTCTGGTCCCTGTAATGTAAGATGTTGCTTTTCTGAAGCTGTTCTCTAGATTTATTTTCAATCTTTACTTTTAAATAATTTTGTTTGATTAAGATGTGTCTGTGTGTGTTTTCTTTGAGTTATCCCACTTAGTGTTTGTTGAGCTCCTCGAATCTTTTAAACTTATGTCTTTCATTAAATGTGGGAGGTTTTTTATCATTAGTTTTTCCAAATTATTTTTCTTTCTCCAAGGAGAAGAGAAGGTATCTCTTCTCCTTGAACCGTAGCTACACTTAAGTTAGAACTTGGAGGTTGATCCACAGGTTGTTGGGTCTGTTCTGTGAACTGTTTTTTTTTTTTTTTCAATTTCCTTTTTCTCTTTGTTCTTCAGATTGGATCATTTCTATTGCTCTGTCTTCAAGTTCACAGACTCTTTCCTCAGTCATCCTCATTCTGCTACTGAACCCATGCAGTGAGTTTTTATTTCAGATATTGCATTTTTCAGTTCTGAAATCTCATTTGATTCTTTTTTATGCTTTCTGTTTGTTGATAATTCCTGCCTTGTCTTTCATTTCATGTGTATTTTCCTTTATAAGCAATTATAATAGCAGCTTAAAAGTATTTGACAGTTCTGGTATCTGTGATGATCTATTCCTTTGAGAATTACATTTTTCTGGTTTTTTGTGTTGCATGATTTTGGAACTTATCTTTAATATTGTGAATATTATTTATATAAACTTTGGATCCTATTGTAATCTTTTGTAGGAATCTTGCTGTTTTTCTTTTAGCAGGCAGCCTGTTTAGGTTCAAGCCCTAAGTTCTGCCTTACCTTCTGAGAGCAATGGTTAAAAATCTCAAGTTTTGTCCTTTACATTTTTGCTATGATGTAAATGGGGACTCATCTCATTCACAATAGCCCAAGAGTTAGTTTGAGATTTCTTCAGGTGTCTCAGATTGTCAGTTCTCTAGGCTTTTGCTGCATTGTTTTGGGTCACTTAGTTCAAATTTTATTTCGGTTTTCAGTCTTTACTAGACTGATTTTAATATGCCTCTCACATATCTTGCTAAGGTTAGGCTGTGATTTGTATGGCTTCAAATGCAGAATTATGGAATCGCCTTCTGTGCCTTTCTTCTCTCCAGAATTTTCCATACTCTTGCCAACAGGGACTCCTTTTCCTGATTATGTAACCAGAAAGTTGGGGTTTCTGTTGGAATTTAAGCTGCCCATACTGCTCTGCACATAGGCCCAGCATTGTTGCAGAGTCATGAAACAACTGGGAAACTCATTTCACATAGGTAACATCTCTCAGTTTTTACTCCCCTGCATAATCCACTGCTTTTGTTTAATATCAGAGTCCAAAGTTTATCAGTGTAATCAGCAGGAAGGATGGGCTGTAGTGAGCTTATGCTACCATACCAGAACCAGGACCACTCTATTGAATTTGTAATACGGGACCTCGCGCAGAGAACTGAAAATTGTTCTTCCCTACTCATAGGATACTGAAGCCATCTTCTTTTATGTTTATGCTGATTTCCATCCCCTTCCTCCCAAAGGAAACCATGTAAATAGGTGTCATGTTTGTCCTTAAATATTTATGAATCCTTTTAAAACTGGAAGAGCTGCTTTATATATGTATTTATTTTTAATTTACTGAGATGACATTGTAATAGATTCTGTTTCTTTTTTCATTCATCAGAGAATGCCTTTTAGTTAAATTCTGTGTGTAGAATTGGCTTATTGTATCTGACAACTACATAGTATTTCATAATTGGTATCTATCACATTTTATATATTTTCCTAAGGAAGGTCACCTGGGATAATTAACTTTCATTTTCTACTCTTACAAATGTAAGGTATGTGTGATTTTTTTTTTTTTCTCCTCCCCAAGATTGGGGATTTAACCCAGGGGTGCTTTACCACTGAGCTACTCCTTAGTACTTTTTTTCTTAATTTATTATTTTGAGAGAGTCTAAGTTGCTATGGGTCTCACTAAATTGCTGAGGCTGGCCTTAAATTTGCAATCCTCCTGCCTCAGCCTCTTGTCACTGGAATTACAGGCATGTGCCACCATGCCCTGCTTATTAATTTTTTAGAATATTTTTAAAATTTTTGATGGACCTTTATTTTATTTATTAATTTATTTATTTGTGGTGCTGATAATTGGACCCAGTGCCTCAAATATGCTAGGCAAGTGTTCTACACTGAGCTACAGCCCCAGCCCCTCAGTAATGCTTTTCAATTGATATACTCACTAGTCTTAGATTTAGGAATCTAGATCTAGCTTTTTATCAGGAGTCTCTAAACAGTGTAACTCAGGTAAGATAGCATTTTTTTCTTCAGCTGTAGAAGCTAAGCATTGTGTTGCCAAGTTAAGACAAGGCAGCTCTCATTATGGTTTATAGAGGAGACTGAGCAATAAGGAAGATGGATCAGATTAGTGTCTACAGACTGGTTTTTTCCCTTTCTATTCTCAGAGATATCCTTTAGTTACTGTCCCTCTAGCAGAGAGAGAGGGAAACTTGGACATATCTGGTTACTGATCTAGGGGATCTGAGAGTCACAGAATACCCAATTACATTGCTTAAAATTTCTTTTTCTTAGATAAATCCAGGAAAGAATTTCTTCCTTCTATTGCAGAATGGACTGCTTACTCTTTTTGATTATAATGAAGTATAATAATAATTATATATGTTGTGTTAGACTGATCAATGTAATTTTTAGATTACAATTTATAATTTTTTTAAAAAATTAGCCTTCTTTATATATATATTTTAGTTGTTGATAGACCTTTATTTTATTCATTCATCTATGTGCAGTGCCGAAAATCGAACCCAGTACCTCACACATGCCAGGCAAGTGCGCTACCACTGAATCACAGCCCCAGTCCCAAAATTAGCCTTCTTAATAAAATAAAATTAGCTGCCTTAGTTTTTTGCACAAGTAACCGACTTGATTATCTTCCTATGATAAAATAATTAATAAGGGTTTTACTCCAGACCCTCGTTGGTACATGATTTTTGTGTCGTGTTAGTAGCAGGACCCAGTGCTCCATAAAGGATAATAGTTTCCAGTACACTATCCCTCACGATGACTCCTTAAGCGGCTCATCATCTGCCTCTTCATGTGAACCAGTGAGTGATTTTCCAGCATCCTTCCGAAAATCTACCTACTGGATGAAAATGAGGAGAATCAAACCAGCTGGAATGTCTCGTACTGAAGGTATCAGAATTAATGTCTGTTTCCAAAGGCAGTGTGCTCTGAAGTTATATTTTGAGATAGTTGCTATAAGTGATTCTTTTTTTTTTTTTTTTTTTTTTAGTTAGGCACAATACCTTTATTTTGTTTATTTTTATGTTGTGCAGGGGATTGAACCCAGTGCCTCACACATGCTAGGCAAGCGCTCTACCACTGAGCCACAACCCCTGCCCTATAAGTGATTTTTAAAGTATTAAATGCCACAGACTTTTAACCTCATTAGTGATTAAAAGATTTTAACGTGGTAGGCTATTGTGTACTGTTAGCTTCATGAATTGTCTAATAGAGTAAAATACTGCTGACTCTACTCTTCTAGTTTAAACTTCAAATCAGCCTTCTTCTCTATGGGATTTGAACTTCTTTCCTGTGTTCTGGTTTGCTCTTTTTTTGCGGATGTAAGGGCTGGATAAAGAGTCATGGTAGTATATTCTCGAGAGTCACAGTCACAAGTGACTGGTAGTAGCTCTCTATCTCGAACAGTTCTTCTACTTCAGTGATAGCCTCAAATCAAGAAACAAAATATTTCCTGAAGACTTTTTTTACTCTTAGGGTAGAATTGATGATTCCAGAGTGGAGGGTCAGTCAGTTAATTAGAAATTACACCAGCTTTCCTAAAGATACCACAACACTTCTTTGAGGCCTGCATTCACTAGTGATCTTTCTCTTTCATAGTCTTGTGAATGATGTCTTGAAGACAGGCCCAGAAGTTCATTTACAAACTGTACTGAGTTGGTGTTTTGTTTTTGTGTGATATTTCAGGGTCAGGTGGAGCATCAGCAAAAGGAAAAAGGAAACCCAAGCAGGAAGAAGATGAAGATTATGGTGAATTTCCTCAGAAAAAGCATAAGCTTTATGGTAAGGGGTTCATTTTGCTACTTTTTCCTTGGGTCACTAGGCTTTATTCTTCAAGGATAAAAGAGAATGAGACTTTGGGGGCTGGGGTTGTGGCTCAGTGGTAGAGTGCTTGCCTAGTATGTGTGAGGCACTGGTTTGATTCTCAACACCACATTATAAATAAGTAAATAAAACAAAGGTCCATCAACAACTAAAACAAAAAGAGGGAGGTTTGGGCCTTTGTTGTCTTTAGGACCCTTTGAATTTGGGGGTGGGAGTAGCCTCATCCTAACTTTTGTGACTTAAAGGAGGCAGGCAGTTGAATGAGTGGGGTTTTGTGTCCAGGTGAAGGGAAGGGAAGAGATTTTGGTGTTAGGGAGGGGTTAGTAAAGGTAACATGTTGAACTCCATGTCTCCATCTTATGTCAGGGAGGAAGCAACGGCCTAAAACTCAGCCTAATCCCAAATCCCAGGCTCGTCGTATTCGGAAGGAACCACCAGTTTATGCAGCAGGTATGCTTTCTTTTGGAAGCTTTGCGGGATGTAGTATAAACTCTGGTTTATTTTTGTTGTCCATGAGGAGTGATGTACTCAAGCATTTCTTAAGGAGGCATTTGTTAAGTGTCTGTTTTGGAAAAAGATAACTTTTAGAAGTTATATACAGGAAGAATCTGTATATAATAGCCAGGAAGGGGAAAAACCATTTTATGACACTTTTCCTAAATTGTGAAATTATGATTTTTGTTTCTTGAGAATACTGCAGATCACAAAGTGTCATTTTTCTCTCCTTTGTAGGCAGTTTGGAAGAACAATGGTACTTAGAAATCGTGGATAAAGGCAGTGTTTCCTGTCCTACCTGCCAGGCAGTGGGGAGGAAGACCATAGAGGGTTTAAAGAAACACATGGAAAACTGCAAACAGGTTAGATATCTTGTGGCATTTCATAATGGTTAGGACTTTTTCCCCAAAATTTAGACCTGGTACTGTGTATAATATGTTGAATACAGAGGGTTAGGGGGAAGCGTTGTGTGGCAGAGAGAATGTAGACTTTGCACTTGACAGACTTGGGTTTGAATCCTCACTTAGTTATTTGTTAGTTGTGGCATTTAGCTTTTTATATGTGGACTTTAGTTTCCTCTTTTGTAGAATGGAGAAAAAATAACTACTGTGGGTATTCCATGTGTGGATAAGAAAGAAGTAATGCATGCTAAGTGTTTAGCCCACTGCATAGCAATTTGTGGTATTCTGTTTCTCTGTTGAACAGTGGGGTACTGAGTACTATGTTTTTCTTTTAGGAAATGTTTACTTGCCATCATTGTGGGAAACAACTTCGTTCACTGGCAGGGATGAAGTATCATGTCATGGCGAATCATAATAGTTTGGTAAGAGTGTCTTCTCTGTGAGCTCATGTGGTGTATGGATATCTTTTATTAGGTGAGTGTACATATCTCAGTGCAGGTGATTGAGGTTCTGGGACCTCATAGGTGTGTAAGAAGACTCTATTCAAGATTTATGCACAATGAAACCATGGAGGTAGACCGTAGATACTTGTGTGGGTAGGTTATCCCCAAAGGCTCATATCCTGGGAGGAAGAGGCTCAGACTCTTATTTATATTCTCTTTACTTCCTTTGTCTGTCTAGAAGATGGAGAAAGCTAGATCTTGGAGAAAACCAGAATATTAGCTTAGCTGCTAGTCCAGTTCTTCATTTTCTGTGTTTCTTTTGCTGTCTGGCATTTCCATGAATCATCTACTTATTTGCTTCTCTTGATTTCTAGCCCATTTTGAAGGCTGGAGATGAAATAGATGAACCAAGTGAGAGGGAACGGCTTCGAACAGTCCTAAAGAGACTGGGAAAGCTCAGGTGCATGCGTGAGGTAAGAGCTCAAGGACAGCAACTCGTCCCTGGAGTCCCAGGTCATTGTCTTTCTTTTGTTGTTCTCCATTTCTCCTTCTTTTCCTTTATGGACTTCCTAGTTCTTACAGCATATGATGGCCCCTGCTTCTCTAGGTCTCTTGAATTCATTTATAGTTCTTTATTTTCTTTCTCATCCCCCAAAGTGCCTTCCTCTTTGTTTAGAGGGATTTCTTTACCAACTTTTTTTTGTGTGTGTGTGTGTGTGTGTGATGAAGTAACCTCACTGTGATGAACAACTTTAATGTTGCTGGCTGTTTGATATTGGGGTGGGGTTGGATCACAGACCAAGCAGGAAACTATGATACAAAGTAGGTGCCTGGTTATAATTCAGCAAATGCCAACTTTATTAGTCAGTTTTTTACTGCTGTGACTAAAAGACCTGACAAGAACAATTTTAGAGGAAGAAAAGTTTATTTGGGGCTCACCATTTCAGAGGTCTCAGTCCATTCCTTGGGGCTCAATTAAGGCATGGTGAGTGTGGTGAAGGAAGGTAGCTCACATGATGATCAGGAAGCACAGGGAGACTCCACTTGCCAGATACAAATGTATACCCCAAGTGCATATCCCTAATGACTGTTCTCCTCCAGGCATACCCTATCTGCCTTCAGTTCCCACTCAGTTAATTCCATCAGGGGATTCACTGGTGGGGTTAAGGCTCTTATAATCTAATCGTTTCTCCTCTAAACCTTCTTGCAATGTTTTACACGTGAGCTTTTTGGGGCACACCCAAATTACAACACTAAATAAACTGATTGAATATCATGGCTCACAGATAGGACATCCAGGGAAAAGGAAGGATTGTACCAAGGGGAAATGTTGGAGAAAGTCTTATAATATCACAGTGTTTTTTTGTATTTTCTGGTGGTGAATGGTTTATAGCTTTTTATAAATTTAGGGATCATGTCAAAAGATGTAAGATTCTAGCTGGGTGGGACAGCATGGCAGTTGCCTGTAATCCCAGTAGCTTGGTAGGCTGAGGTAGGAGGATCACAAGTTCAAAGCCAGCCTCAGCAACTTAGCAAGGTCCTAAGCAACTTAGTAAGACTGTGTCTCAAAATAAAAAATATAAAGATCTGGGGACGTGACTCAGTGGTTAAGCACCCCTGGGTTCAATCCCTGGTACCAAAAAACCCCAAGATTTTAGATTCTAATGTGGGTCTGTTTCCTGTGTTCAGAGTTGCTCCAGTACCTTCACCAGCATTATGGGATATCTATACCATGTTAGAAAATGTGGCAAAGGGGCTGCAGAGCTGGAGAAGATGACCCTGAAGTGTCACCACTGTGGAAAACCATATAGATCGAAGGCTGGACTTGCGTATCACCTGAGGTCAGAGCATGGGCCTGTGAGTATTGACTCCTCTCTAGACCCTTTTTTGGGGTTGTACTTGGTGGTGTGTACCCCTGCCTCTTTCTGTATATCTTGGTTTGTCCTTTTGTGTCAACTTTTAATCTTTGAATGCTTTTGTTTTCTCTTTCTAATTCTTTTTCTCATTCTTATTTCTGACATTGGGACATTATTAGGTTAGGGAAATGAAAATTCAAAGTATAGTCCAGAGCTGGAGATGTTGTTGCTCAGTGGTAGAGTACTAGCCTACCATGTACAAGGCCCTGAATTCTACCCTGGTACCACAGAAAACAAAACAAACCAAAAAAACTAAAGTATATTTAAGGAAGAAGTGAATGTTTTTTATTTTTCCTTGGTACTGGAAATTGAATCCAGGGGGCTTTTTCTATTGACCTGTAGTCTCTTGCCCTTTTTATTTATCTATTTATTTTGAGATAGGGTCTCATTAAGTTGTGGAAGCTGGCCTGGAACTTATAATCCTTCTGTCTCCCAAGTAGGTGAAATTACAGGGATGCACCACCGCATCCAACTTTATTGTTGCATCTTTTAAACTAAAAGCATTCCCCTTTAGTTGGAAATTTTTTTGGACTCTGTCCAGCTTGTCTCTATTCTAATTTTTGTTTTGTGTAAATGTGTGTTGACTTTTTTCCCCAGATTACATTTCCAAGCTTCCCTGTTGTGTGTTTTTGAGAGTCAGGTTTATTAAGATATAATTTACATATGGAATATTTGCCTTTTTTTTTTTGTGATGCTGGGGATTGAACCCAGGGCCTTGTGCATAGGAGACAAGCACTCTACCAGTTGAGTTGTATCCCCAGCCCAATATTTGCCTTTTTAAATGTACATTTAGGAGTTTTGGCACCTGCATTCATGTAACCACCACTGAACTACAGGTCCAGTGTAGTTTTTTGGTACTGGGGATTGAACCAGGGTGCTGAGTCATATCCCCAACCCTTTTTATTTTTTATTTTGAGACAAGGTCATACTAATTTGCTTAGGGCCTTGCTAAATTGCTGAGCCTGGCCTAAAACTTGTGATCCTCCTGCGTTAGCCTTTTGAGCCATGGGATTACAGATATATACCATGACTCCCAGCAGCCCTTTATTTTTCATTTTGAGAAAGGATCTCACTAGTTGTCAAGGCTGGCCTCAAACTTGGAATCCTCCTGCCTCAGCCTCCCGAAGTCACTGGGATTGTATACATATGCCACAGTACTTGGAGATAGTTTGTGTTTAGTGAAGTGTCTGTTCAAACCCTTTGATCATTTTTTGGGCAGATTTTGGGGGATTTTTAAATTGTTTTATTAAGTTGTAAGTATATTTAGTTATTCATATATTCTGAATTCAAGTCCCATCAGATATATCATATTTTACAAGTTTTTCAAATAACAGAATTTTACATTTCAATAAAGTTCAATTCATACTTTTTTTTGTTTTTGTGGGTTTTGTATTTGTTTATCTAGAAAATCTTTTCTTTTTCTAATTTGTAATTTTCTGCTGTTGCTGTAATTCACCACAAACTTAGTGGCTTCCAACAACACAAATGTTTTACATTAGTTCTTTAATTATTATTATTATTATTTTTGGCATTGGACATTGAACCCCGGGGCGCTTAACCACTGAGTCACATTGTCAGCCCTTTTTTTAATATTTTGTTTAGAGACAGGGTCTCGCTAAGTTGCTGAGTCTAGCTTTGAACTTGCAATCCTTCTACCTCAGCCTCCCAAGCCATTGGGATTACAGGCATGCACCACCATGCCTGGGTCCCCTGCCTCTTCTCCTGTATCTCTCCTACTTAAAATCAACTGATTATGGACTTGAATCACATTTATATAGAATTCCCTCTTATCATCACCTAGATTAGTTTGATTGATTTATGACATTAGCCTAGCCAAATTGACACTTTATAATCACAAAAATTGTTTCCCACAGTTTCTTCTAGAATTTTTATAATTTAATATTTTACAGTTAGAACTGTGGTCGTTTTGAGATAATTTTTGTATATAGTGTGAGGTATGGGTTGAAGTTCATTTCTTTGTATATGAATGTGTCTTGATTTTTGACCACTTTTACTTAATACAACAGAATAGATTTATTTTATCCTGATAAGAAACTTTTTTTACCAGTAAAGTATGCTCTAATCTGGTGGGCTCAATGTTAGTGGTAAAGTTAGTAAATAGCTCTTTTGCTACTTAAGGCAGAATGGACAATTTTTAATTGCTGGCCTGTGTTTTGTGTGTCTCATTCTTGCAGATTTCCTTCTTTCCAGAGTCGGGACAGCCAGAGTGCTTAAAAGATATGAGCCTGGAGTCAAAAAGTGGGGGGCGAGTTCAGAGGCGTTCTGCCAAGATAGCTGTATACCACTTGCAGGAGCTGGCCTCTGCTGAACTGGCCAAGGAGTGGCCTAAGAGGAAGGTGCTTCAGGACCTGGTACCTGATGATCGAAAGGTGTGGTAGAGACTTGTATTAATTTTGGAAACATGTTTAATATTGTGTTTACTGTATAGAGAAAATCCAGTGTACTTAAGTTCATGATAAGCAACATTTAGCTTCTTTACCCCTGGAGTTGGAGTATATCTGATTCAGCTTAAGTGTTTGGGGTCAGGTAAGGCTTAGCATAATAGTCTGTTTCTGAAGTTTCTCAAGTAGCCCTCTTAATTTTGTATTACTTCCAGAGAGAACCTGAATTCTCAGATTAGATTTTTGCTTAATCTTTGTCTAGTATGTTTCTGGTTTGTTAGTTCAGATGTAGTAGTTTATGTTTAGTTTAGGTAAGTGGTTTCAATTTGGTTTTGTAGCACTAGAACTCCCTGCCCACCAAATAAAAGTTTATGCAAAATACCAGTATATAAGCCGGGTGCAGTGGTACACACCTGTAATCCCAGAGATTTGATAAACTGAGACAGGAAGATCATAAGTTCAAGGTCAGACTCAGCAATTTAGTGAGGCCCAAAAGCAACTTAGTGATACCTTGTTTCAAAATAAAAAATAAAAGTGTTGGGGATATGGATCAATGGTAAAGAACCTCTGGGTTCAATCTCAGTACCCCCATCCCCTGTCCCCCCAAAAAAAGAAAGAAAGAAAAACCACCAAAGCAGTCCATAAAATAACTTAAAAGCAGATCTGCTCTGGATAAACTGAGGGTCATGAGCCCAAAATTTATCTATTTGGCCTTCCCTTTTATACTTTCATTATTCCCCTACCTGACCCCTAATATCCTTTTGAGGGATGCTAACCTGTTTGAAAGTCATTGGATTAGAGTAGACCTTAGAAGAAGGAGCATCAGTCAAGAGGAGACAGAGGCCATAGACTCTGGGATCATCAGGGAACAGTTTGAGGGCATGTACAATATACAGTTAAGGTCTTGTTACTCTCCAGAGTATCATGAACAGTTTATATTTGGCCTAGGACATTGACTTATGTGACAGGAATGTTATGTCTTAGAAGAAATAAAGTCAAATCCTAGAATCTAACACACCTCTGTTTTGGTCAAAAAACCAGTCCTGTCCAAGGAATTGGATCTTGTTTTTAATATCAGAGCATCCTTTTTTGTTTCAAACTTACTTCTTTATTTTTTTTCCTCTTGCTACAGGCTATCTAAATTCAGTTTAAATGTGAACTTTGCACAGTGATGTGTATCTTGTGATATTACAGTCAAGTTTCACTGAACCTGGTATGTGGTAGGGAATTTGAAATAAATATTTAATTCATTGATAAGATTTAATAGTCTTATTTAGCAGATACTCTCCTAAAATCACAAAACAGTTTTATATTTTTGACAGTTATGGGTAAAGGGCATTATTTTATTTTATAGCATAAAATTTAATTTTGAATAGATAATATATATTCTACTGGTTCAAAAATTAAAATGATGATAAACATTGAGCTATACCACTCTCACCCTCTTCTTGTTATGATTACCTCTTCTGATTGGCTTCTTGTGAATATTTCTAGTGTTTCTAAATATACATGTAAGCAATATGTATTTTCTCAAAAAAATTATTTTTTGGTACCACAGATTGAACTAGGGGCACTTAACCACTGAACCACATCCCCAGCTCTTTTTTTCTTTTGAGACAGGGTCTTGCTAAGTTGCTGAGGCTGACCTTGACCTCTTTAAGTTGTCTCAGCCTCCAAGTTGCTGGGAATATAGGCGTGTGTCACCACACCCTGCTCAAAAGTTTTTAGTTTTGAAATAATTTTTAGATCTATAGACCAGTTTCATAGTATAGAGTTCCCATGCACTCTTTTTTTTTCATTATTATTTTTTAGTTTTAGGTGGATACAATATCTTTATTTTTATGTGGTGCTGAGTATTGAACCCAGTGCCTCATGCATGCTAGGCGAGCACTCTACCACTGAGCCACAACCCCAGCCCCCCCCCCCCCCCCCCAATGCACTGTTTACCCAGCTTCCCCTAATGCCAACACCTTAAATGGCTATGCCACAGTATCCCACATTTTATTTAGTTATTATATCACCTTAGTTTTCTTCAATTTATGGTTCCCCTCTTTGTCTCTATGTCCTTGATGCTTTTAAAGAAGACTGACTGGCTGTTTTATAGAATGTTTCCCCACTATGGATTTGTATGCTGATTTTGAAAGATCAGCTTGAGGATTATATTTTTGGCTACAATATCACCCAGGCAATATTGGCCTTCTTCATGCATCATTTCAGAAGGTACATGATATTGATATGTCCTTTTTTTGGTTCAGGGATTAAACCCAGGATCTCATAACCACTGAGCCATATTGCCATCCCTATTTTTTAGGTTTTATTTTGAGACAGGGTCTCGCAAGTCTGTAGGGCCTCAATAAGTTGCTGAGGTTGGTCTCGAACTTGCAATCCCCCTGCCTCAGCATCCTGATATGTCTTTTTATTGACAATAGTAACTAATCAATTGGGTGAGGTGTGTTTTTCAGATATCTCCAGGGTTAAATTAAATAATCTTCTCCTTAATTAGTGGCTATTTTGTGGGGAGATTGAGAATATGAAAATAACCTGTATCTTATCATACTGCCCACTTATTAGTTTATACTAATGATTTTTGCCTGTAACAAGTATTATTATAGTATTTACCTAACGAAGATTTTTTTTTGTTTCCATAATTTCTTCTACAATTATTAATTAAAATTTATATCATTATAGTCTTCATTCATTATCTCTGGGGGATTGATTCTGGAACCTCTCAGTTACCAAAATCCTTGAATGCTTAAGCCCCTTACGTCAGGTGGCATAATATTTGCATAGAACCTATGTACTTCATCCTATATACTCTATTTACTTATTTGTTTTTTAATTATTTTGGTGCTGGTATTGAGCCCAGGGGCACTTAACCACTGAGCCACATCCACAGCCCTTTTTAATTTTTATTTTGAGACAGGGTCTCATAAAGTTGCTAATACCCTGGGTAAATTGCTGAGACTGGCCTCAAACTTGACATCCTTCTGCTTCAGCCTCCTGTAAGCCCCCTTGCTGGGATTACAGGCATACACTACCTCACCCAGCCTCCTATAACTTTAAATCATCTCTAGACTAGTTATAATACCCAATACGGTGTAAGTGCTGTGTAAATAGTTGCTATAGTATGTTGTTTAGGGAATATTGACTAGAAAAATGTCTGTACATGTTCAGTACAGATGAAATATTTTTCTGAATATTTTTAATCCATAGTTAATCGATTCAGCACATGCAGAAGCTAAGGATGTGGGGGTGCCAGCAATATACTCATAGATACTTAATTTATTATTTTGTATAATTCAGTGTATTATTTATTTTGCCGCTCAAATCGTCCCAGATTTAGGTACTTTTGAAAGATATTTCAAGTGGGCCCCTGTGTTTCTTTGACATTCCCCTATCATTTTTTTGAACAGTTTTAAACTTTTTATACTATGCTCAGCTTGCATTTTTCCTGCCCCACATCTGGAATCAACCATTTTCCAAGGAACACTCCTTCCTTTTTAGAGATTGTGTTTATAAACTAGACTTTAGTGTTAGGTGTGCTCTTTCCTACTGGGCTTTCATTGTTTCTGGGCTTTCTTGGTACCTAGAGCTAAAAGGTATATATGTTTGTATATTTGTGTATGCACAGAAAATCCATGTTTATTTCTATGCCTATCTGTATGTATATTAAAAGTCATAATACCTTTAATTCCAGTCAACACCTCAAATTTCATTCTAGTTTTCCTCTTCCTTATTTGTTACTCCTTTGTCCAAAAGGAGTTTTTATGAGATGGATGATCATATGTCTATATTTCCCTCTTTTTTGTTTTGCACTCTGCTCAGATCTGACTCTTGTTATGTCCAGTATCATTACACATTTTCTCAAATCTAGTATGACATCCAGTAGTTTCAGAATTGCTGACACATTCCCCTGTAGAGTAAAAGAATTACTGGAGAATGTTTACATGCAGTTTTTTCACCCTTAGCCTTATAAAATATATAGTAAAAGTACAGTTTTCCAAATTTGCTTAGCTTGATTTTTTTTCTTCCTCACCCCCTTCATTATGCTACTCATTTGTAATAGGTTCATGTTTTATTCTATTATATTTGCGTTCTCCCACTTTTCCCCCTCTTCCTCAATTTAAATCATTTATTTTTGAAGGTTTGTGTAATATTACCATATTTCTAAGTCAGACTTAAAAAAGATATACTTCAAGGAGAGTCACTACTCCTTCCTCCAACTATTCCATTTCCATTTTCCTTTTCTTTCTGTCTGTTCCCACCTACCTTCAAAGATAACCAAACCCATTAGTTTCTGCTTATTCTTTCTAAGCATTTTAATGAGATGGATGATCATAAGTCTATATTTCCCTCTTTTTATTTTTCTGTGTCTCTTTGACATTCCCCTATCATTTTTTTGAACAGTTTTAAACTTTTTACACTTTTTACACTATGCACACTATGCTCAGCTTGCATACCTACTCTGTGCTCTGGTTTTTTTTTTGCACTCTGTTCTATTTCACTCTATAATATATTCCTAGAAATCACTCCATGTGTATTCACAGAGATTGTCCTCATTTTCTATTCTTTATTTCTTTTTTAGTTGTAGTTGGACACAATACTTTTATTTATTTTTATGTGGTGCTGAGATCTAACCCAGGGCCTCGCATGTGCTAGGTGAGTGCTCTATTGCTGAGCCATACCCCAGCCCCTCATTGTCTATTTTTAAGTGCTACTTAGTACATAATTTTTATAACTAAGGTCGTTTATTGTATAAAAGTAATACTTATATAACAAGTATTCCCCTTTCACCATAAAAGAATTTTAGATGGGCTCATTTGTACTAGCTGCTGAGGAGAATAAATGCTTATAAATAATACCTACTCTATGCTCTGATTTAGCTTTACCAGGGCCTCTTTCAGCTACCTTCTTTCCCCCATTACCTCTCTGGGCTTTGATTTGCTTTTCTCAGAGTTCCAGTTCCTTTTAAGATACTTTATTGTTGAATCATGGAGACTGCTTGCCAGAAGTAAAGCTCTTACCCAGGTGGACTGTGCAGGAACTGTCTCTGCAGGTGCTGTCTCTGAAAGCTCCACTTGCAGTTGTTGTACATGTAACTCATGTCAAAGTATGTGAAAGGAGGTCTAGAAATTATTCTGCTTTTGCAGATAAGCAAAGATTACATGTTATGTTTTCTGGTTTCTTTGCATCTTTTAGATTGAACTTCAGTTGTTTTGTTTTAGAATTTAAAAAATATCAAAATTCAGCATGTTATAATTGAAGAATAGAAATACAGATTAAGGGCTGGGGCTGTGGCTCAGTGGTAGAGTGCTCGCCTGGCATGTGTGAGGCACTGAGTTTGATCCTCAGCACCACATAAAAATAAAATAAAATATTGTGCCCACCTATAACTAAAAAAAAAAGAAAGGAAATACAGATTAACAGAGGAAAACATTAAAATCATCCCAAATTTGATTACCCAGAGAATACTACTGTTAACATTTAAAAGTTTATGGCTTCTTTTTATCATCTACATATTTTTCTGTTGAAAGACTATATGAATACATCTTTATAGTCCTGTCTCTTTTTTCCCTTCTTTTTCGAGGTACTGGGGATTGAACCTAGGGGTGCTCTATCATTGAACTACATCCCTAGCCCTTTTTATTTTTTGAGATGGTGTCTAATAAAGTAGCCTAGGCTGGCCTGGAACTTGGGATCCTTCTGCCTCATCCTCTTAAGTAGCTGGGATTATAGGTGTGCACCACTGTGTTCAGCTCCTTGTGCGTGCGCTCTCTTTCGCTCCTCCTCCCTTTGTCGTCCTCCCTCAAATATTTTATTTCTATGTATATGCTCTGCAGCTTTAAAAAAAAAAAAAAGAACAGAAAAATGTTTTAACAACAGTGAAGCTTTATATCCAAAAGTCTTCTAAGCCTAAATAAAGCCACTTATATTTGTCAGTTTTGGGAACTTTAGAGGGTCTTAACATCTTAGATGTTTTTCTATATGAAGATAAACGTGGATTACTGAAATATATAACCTAAAGAGGTGGGTGTGAAGCTTTTGGGATATTTTCATTGGGAGTTGCAGTCCTGCAATAAAATGCTTCTTATCTTCTAGTTAAAATATACTCGCCCTGGGCTACCTACCTTCAGCCAGGAAGTACTACACAAATGGAAGACAGATATCAAGAAGTATCATCGTATTCAGTGTCCTAACCAGGTAGTTCTTTCTCTTTCATTAATTCAGTAAATGTTTCTGAAGCGTCTGCTCTTGTTTTCAATTATTTATTCCTTCATAACAAAGCCCTTGAACTGTAGTGGCTTAAAATAACAGTTATTTTTATTTCTTCACAATTCTGTAAATGAATAATTCTTGTCAGATGAGCAGGCCAGTGCTTGGACTGGAATGTCCCAGATGGCTTCTTTGCAGTTGCATTCAGCTGGGAACCTGGCCTTCCATCTGGCCTCTCTTTTTAGCAGGATAGTGGGACTACCAGCAGGGTACACAATGACTATTCTAAGAACAGGAAAGCAGAAGCTGCATATCTCTGAATGCCTCACTTTAAATTTTCACAGCATTACTTTCATGGCATTGTATTGGTCAAAAACATCACAGGGCCAACCCAGACTCAGAGGGAGGGTAAATAGACTGCACTTCTTGATGACAAGAGGGGCAGAGATTTTTTTAGCCATCTTTAAGATTGTAATCACAACTATATAAGCAATACTTAGAAAGAAATAAATAAAAGGAGTAGGAGACACATTTGCACTACATAAAAAGGATTTTTAAAAAATCTAAACATGGAATTTTCTGTATTTCTGTTAAGTATCACAGAAAATACTAGGAAAAGAAATGGATTAAACTTTCCTGAACAATTTATTGACTTTCTTTTCTTTTTCCCTTTTTTTGGATCCACCTGTAGTCTTGGAGATTATATCCAGGGCTTCATGCATGCTAGTCAAGTGTTCTTCCACTGCACTATATTGGCATTCCTTGTTTTCCTTCATGCTTTTGTGACTCACATGTGGATTCATTTTGTGTTTGTTTTGGGGCACTGTATATTGATCTTCTAAATGTACAGTTGATCGTATAAATGGCCAGATTGCTAAGAGAAGGATGTTTTTGGTGTAGCCTTCACCTTATTCTTTTCTTTTTCAGGGTTGTGAGGCTGTCTACAGTAGTGTATCTGGCCTTAAAGCTCACCTAGGCTCTTGTACATTGGTTTGTATTTTTTAAAATTAATATTTTAATATATCCTTTAAAATAGTCTGACATGGAAGAGAACTCAGTTTAGGTGAACAGCTAGTCATCCTGTTTACTGTTATCTTCAGAGGCTGCTTTAAAGGCTTCTGTGTTGCAAAGATTCTTGGTCTCATATTGGATGGGATTCCAGGGTATGCCCAAGACACAGAGAAGACATAGCTGTACGCCATACTAAATAAAGGAATTTGGAGAAAAATACATGAGTTCTGAGTCCCTACCAGAGATTCCCTCTGAGCCTCTCCCACACTGGACCTGTTCTGTCTTATTGGACCTTAACTTTCTGGGGAAAAAAGCTACATGTACTTATCTGGATTGGTGAAGATCTTCCAAACCTATTTGAACTATATGGCCTCTGGGGATGGGAGATGGGATAGGGTGTCAGACTAACAGCCATTCACCTCACTGAATCTTTTCCATGTTGACCCAGGTGTCCTACAACCCACGAGCCATGGGAAATGCTGCTACTTTCCAATCTCATTCAGAAGTATCTCCTCACACAAAATGAGCACCATGGAAACCTGAAGCTTCAGGAGGGGAGAGAAGTCTCAGTTGAAGCCAATAAGGGAGTTGTAGGCATCCCAACCAGATCTGTCCAGGAATGCTTAGGAGTTTGTCATCTTGATCCTAGTTTTTGAGTCCTTAAACTAGGCATTATGGATGGTATTCTTCTAATTCTGGATTTCCAAGGCACTCTTTGCAGCAGTGGATTATAGTGGGAAGAATTGCATATTGGTGCTTCTGGTGAACTTGGGGAGTTTGCTCATTTGGGGGAAGAACAAAAGAACCTGAAAGTGAAGTGAAAGGAACCTGAGAAAGTACAAAAATGTGGCATGGTACATAATATAGACATCAGGTCTTGTTGAAGTTGGAGTAGGTGTTTGTATAGAATTGCATTAGTTCAGATTTGCATTGGTGAGAGTCTAAGTTGGTTTTCCTAAACATACTGCTGTTTTGGATCTTTTCCTTTGCTCTAATAATATCCCCCTTTTCATCTCTAACAATCCCTGCACATAATCCAGGTGTGTGTTCCTGATTTTACCAATAACTTTATTTTCTTTCTCTTTTGGAAATAGGGAAACTTTGTGGCTGGAAAATACAAGTGTCTTTTATGTCAGAAAGAATTTGTGTCGGAGAGTGGTGTCAAGTATCACATCAACTCTGTCCATGCTGAGGTGAGGTCTCTGCTTTCCCATAGTGGTTTTGTAATCCTATGGACCTGATACGTAAGCCGCAAGAGAGGTGGACTTTGTCCCTGATTTTATGGTCTAGGAGTGTCAAAAGAAAGTAACTACGGTACCAACTGAGACACTAAAGCTAAAATACTCTCTAAAATTAGACATAATTGTGTTTTTCTATGAAAATATATGAAATCACTATAATTGAGAGCATTCTTAAGCTCTTCTCTTAAATCCAGACAGATCAGGAATTGGGGAACTATGTTGAATTCACATGTTTGACATTATTGTTTCAAACAATCTCCATACATACTGTTATGCTTTCTGGTATTCTAATGTCTATTGGCAGCCTATTTATTTATTTACTTTTTTTGTGGTGCTGGGAATCGAACTCAGGGCTCATTCATGCCAGGCAAGCACTCTACCACTGAGCCACATTCCCAGCCCTAGCAGCCTATTTTTAATGCTGTTCAATATACTGCATAAAACAGCTATAAAGGAGGGCTGGGGATGTGGCTCAAGCGGTAGCGCGTTTGCCTGGCATGCATGCGACCTGGGTTCGATCCTCAGCACCACATACAAACAATGATGCTGTGTCTGCCGATAACTAAAAAATATTTATTAAAATTCTCTCTCTCTCTCTCTTTAAAAAAAAAACACAAACCAACTATAAAGGATTATTGCAGATTCCATATATCATGTTAAGTGTAAATGATTCTTTTGATATGTATCTCTAAAAGATAAAAATTTTTAAAAACATATATCCACAAACATCATTATGCCTAAGAAGAGTTACAGTGATTCTTTAGTATCTTCATATATTGAGTCATTATTTAAATTTCCCGTTAATTGTCTTGTTTTTTCCCTTCAGAATTGGCTTATTCAAATCAAAATCTAATATTTGGTCCATATACTGCAATTTTTTGCTTTTATCTAGAGCATTTGCTATTGTAATAGAAATGGAATGTGAGCCATGTATATAAAGTTTTTTAGCAGCTGCATTTAAAAATATATAATTAAAACAGGTAAAATTAATTTTAATCCAGTATATCCACAATATTATTTTTAATATGGCCATCAATTAATAAATTATGAATGAGATATTTTCAGTTTTTTCATGTGAAGTCTTGAAATTTGGTGTTAATTTTTCATTGAAAGATTATTTCAATTTGGACTGACCACATTTCAAGAGCTCATTAGCTACATGTGGGCAGTGGCTGTTCAACCATGCAGGTTTAGAAGCTTTTTTCTGGTTGCCATTTACTGGTTGGAGAAACTAGATCATTCATATTCTGGATTTTGCTGATTGCATCTTCTGGTGGTATTCTTCTATCCTAGCTGTTTCATATAAATTGATAGTTAGTTCTGGAAGATTGATGACATCACTGATTAGATTCAGTTCTTTTTGTATTCTTTTACATTTTTGGCAAGAATACTTTCTAATTTGATTTCATATCCCTTACCCATTAATTTTTTTAATATTTATTTTTTAGTTACAGGTGGACACTATCTTTTTTAAATTTTTTATTCTAATTTGTTATATATGACAGCAGAATGCATTATAATTCATGTTACACTTATAGAGCACAATTTTTCATATCACAATATCTTTATTTTATTTTATATGGTGCTGAGGATCTAATCCAGTGCCTCACGCATGCTGGATGAGCGCTCTACCTCTGAGTCACAACCCCAGTCCTACCCATTAATTTTTTAAACTGAAGCTCAGAGAGGTTAAGTAACTTGCCTATAGTTAACATAACTAAAACAGAACTGGGAATTGCACTGAGGAGCACTGGCTGCATAGTTCATGTTCTTGGCTGGTGTGGTGGTGCATGCTTGTAATCCCAGTGGTTTGGGAGGCTAAGGTAGGAGGATTGCAAGTTCAAAGTCACCTCAGCAATTCAGTGAGGTCCTAAGCAACTTAGTGAGATCCTGTCTCAAAAGGAAAAATAAAAAAGGCTAGGGATGTGCCTCAGTGGTTAAATGCTCCAGAAATTAAATGGTTAATTTCTGGGGTCATTCCTCTGTGGCCCACCCCACCCACACCACACAAAAAAATCATGTTCTTGTTCACTACACTGTCCATGAAATAAAAATCTTCTGTGGCTCAGTGCTTTACATCTCATCATGAGATTTATATAAAAGAATGAAATGGATGGGATGATGCTCAATAAAAAGACTTTGTAGATCATTTATTAAAAGTACCCAGAATTGGGGCTGTAGCTCAGTAGCAGAACGCTTGCTTAGCACGTGTGAGGCACTGGGTTCGATCCTTAGCATGGCATAAAAATAAACAAATAAAATAAAGGCATGCTGTCCATCTACAACAACAACAAAAAGTATCCAGAATCATGTATTAGGTTTCTTCAATTTAAAATATAAAGTTCTGGGGTTGTAGCTCAGTGGTAAAGTACTTGCCTCCCACACATGAGGCCCTAGGTTTGATCCTCAGTACCACATAAACATAAATAAATAAATAAATAAAAATAAAGTATTGTGTCCATCTATAACTAAAAGAATATTAAAAAAAATATATATAAAGTTCTAAGGTATGACTCTGTATACCTGTTTCTTCCTTACTATTTTATGCCCTAACCACGCTTTTTCTTTCATTCTTCCTATACCCCTTCTGTATGTTCTTTCTGTGTTTCTCACTAGATGACTTTTCTGTTCTGCCTCTCTAGGATTGGTTTGTTGTAAATCCAACAACCACCAAAAGCTTCGAAAAGCTGATGAAGATAAAGCAGCGGCAGCAGGAAGAAGAAAAGCGGAGGCAGCAGCACAGGAGCAGAAGGTCTCTTAGAAGGCGGCAGCAGCCTGGCATTGAGCTTCCTGAAACTGAGCTGAGTCTTAGAGTAGGGAAGGATCAGAGGAGGAATAATGAGGAACTGGTCGTGTCGACCTCCTGTAAGGAATCAGAGCAGGAGCCAGTGCCCGCACAGTTCCAGAAAGTAAAGCCCCCAAAGACGAATCATAAACGAGGAAGGAAATAGGCAGTCAGTGAAAGTGCTCCTAGGAGAGTGAATGTGATGCTCTTGTCACAGGGAACTATGTGGGGAGGCCTGAGTGGTGGGGCTGAGCGAAGATGCTTTCAGCTATTCGTGTAAGGCTGTGACTTTCTCAGCTCCTTTCTCCTGTGTAAATTTCATTGTCTTCTCTACTAACTCACTTTCATTCTCCCTCTTTCCCCTTTTAGTAGGTTTTCCTACTATTCCTCTTTGGAGTCCTCTTGTTTTTCTCTTCTCTTGCCCAAAGAGCTCCCTCTTAAGGCCAAGTATATGCCCCTCTTGCCCTATTCAAGATTAAGAAACCTGTTTGGTTGTCTTTTCCTTCCTGGGGTTTGAATGTTCTTGGAAGCTCCATTGATTTAGTAGCCATTCCATCATCTAGCTTATAAAACAATTCCAAACTAATTTTTTAAAACCATACTGGTTTATCATTTTGTATTTGTGATATTGTTATAGAAGCTAGAACTGTTGTCACTTATATAGTAGGTTACCCTGTCCTCTTGGGAAGCAAAACTTTATGGAGGCTGTTGTGTGTCCTCAATATGGTTTTAGGATTGAAAGTAAGAAAAGGACTTAGCAAGAAAAAGCTAGAACCTCCCTCCACTGGTTATACTGGGAAATCTTTCTACCAGGTAGCAGTGACTACTAACTAGACCCACAGGCATGAAAAGCAGCCTTAGGAGTAATGTGGCTCAAACATTAAAATGACTAGAAAGAAAAAAGTAGAAGCAATAAATACTGCTCCAAACTTTCTGGGGCCTGAAGTCTCATCTGTTGCAATGATGCCCTCCTGAAGCTTGCTTTTGCTCCCTTGATTCTAAGGATTGAGAAATGTCACAATGCCCCTGACACAGTAGCCTACTGCTCCTGGTAATGCCATTAAGATTGGAAATCATGGTGCACATTCCTTCTGCCCTGGATTTTACCTCACTTGTTAGTCTATAATCCTGCTAAGTCCTCATCCATTCCTTTAGACAACCCTGTGTCTGAATTTTCTGAGAATATTGTCCTTCTACCCTCTTTTATATATGAAGTTCTATCCTCTTTATATTCTGACACTTTGACACCAGATGTAGATATTAATCTGGAGCTGGAAAGTAAAGTTCTTTTTCTGTACCTCATACTTACCTGGTAATGTTTAATGGACTCTTCCCCTTTGAGGGTGGCTTTCTCTGGAGCATTGGTTAGAGCAGCATTGTCGTGTTTCTGGATTCTCTTTCCCCTTTTGCATAAAATGTTGGTCTTATATATTCTTGCCTATTTTGTGGCATATGCCACTTAAAAAATTAGACTTGATGTGGATGAATACTACCTTTCAAATTCTGAAGGCTATTACCACCCTTTAACTCTGTTGTTTGTGCTCCTCTGAATAGCTTTAACATGTGGGCTTTTGTGAAGACCACTTTCAAACAAGGAGCATTGAAACCTGAATTAGATACTGCCAGAATAGGTAGTTTTGAAACAAGTGAAGGAAATGGAATGTCTACACTACATTTTTATCCTTAAAACCTTTCAGTAGATGAGGGTTGTCAGGGAGGAGAAATGAAGAAGCTATGTTAATTTCTGGTGAGTAAGACTTGGGGAATGTTTGGCAATGACAAAAGAAATAAATGGCTCTCACTTAGAATGATGTTTCCAGTTGTTTTTTGATTTCGACCTGGACCTGCTGCTTGACTCTTTGCTGGTGCTGTATGTGGGGCTAAGAAGATGGCTGGAGGTGGGGATGAGTCTGAAATAAGTCCATATGCAATTGTCTCAGTAGTTCTATAACTCCTCAAATGAAGAATTTGAGGCTAAAGTGAAATGATACAGGAAATATATTGTCCTGTTTCATCCAGGCCCCTTGTTGCACTCCTATTCTGTTTGCTTTTCAAGGTTGAGGATCAGCAGGAGTCAATATAGATCATCCTCATTACACTACTCAGTTTTTTAAAAAAATTCATTACAGTAACTAAGTTTGGCGGTATTGAGTATATCTAGGATGTTTAGTAGTATAAACTTTCATGCTCAATTTTGGAGTGTTAATTGGCCTAATCACTTTGAAAATGATTTGGCAATATCTAGTAATAATATAATCCTGAGGCTGAACAGCTTCGGTCCTGGGTATATATAGAGAAATTCGTTTTGCTCACTTTAGCAAGAGAGTTGAACAAGGTTGATTATTGCAGTACTGTTTACAATAGAGAAATATTGAAAATGTGTATCAGACTACCTATCCACCTAAATCTGCTCTCATCTTCTGAAGTTATAGGCCTGTAGGACAAATGGCTAGACTGCTTTTTCCACTTTCCTGTCTTCTGGCAGTAAAGGGCTTGCCAGTTGAGTTCCCTCTGTGGAATTTGAGTGTAACCTTCCAGGCTAGCAGTTTGAAGACAGTAAGTGTACCTCTAAGCTCTCTTCCCCCTTCTGCTATCTAGACACAGATGATGTTGGGGAGAGCACAAAATGGAAGATAGTTGACTCCCTGAGTCACCCTGTGAAGGAGAATCATTTGCCAACCAAGAACATTTATCTGAGACTGTTATGTAAGCAAGAAATAAATGTGTTTTTGAGACATTATACATTCTTGGGTCTTTTTGTTAGTCTACTATAATATATAACCTTGTCCATCAAGAAGATGGATAAATTGCAGGGCAGTTACACAGTGGAATGCAAGCTATAAAATTAGCAAGGGCTTCTTGTTATTATGAATAATTATCTCAAAAGTGATGTCTGGTTAAAATAAGTTACAGATACTTTGTACTGATTACATAAGGTTTAAAAACATGGAAAACAATGTTCTACAGTATTTATTGCTATAAATATGAAAACATGCACAGGAATGTTAAACACTATATTTGGGATAGTGTTTCTGGAATCTAGAGGGACTTCAACTGAATTTGTAATTTAAGGTAGTGACTTGCAGTTTTCTATATATTTTTTTTTATATTTCTGTAATATTTAAAAGATAGTTGATACCAAAAAGAATACTGTATTCTACCTCCTCTTTGTTAATTTTTTTTTTTTTTTTTTTTTTTTTTTTTTGTGGTGCTGGGTAATGAACCTTACCACTAAGCTACATCCCCAGCCCTTTCTTTATTTGTAATTTTTGAGATAGGGATCACTAAATTACCTAGGCTGGCCTTGAACTTGTGATTTTTTTTTTTTTTTTTTTGATACCAGGTATTGAACCCAGGTATTGTAGCTTAACCACTGAGCTACATCCCTAGCCTGTTTTTTTTTTTTTTTTTTCGTTCGTTTGTTTTTTTAATTTTGCAATAGGATCTCATTAAGTTGCTCAGGGCCTCACTTAAATTGCCGAGGCTGGCTTTGAACTTATGATGCTCCTGCCTCAGCCTCCTGAGCTACTGGGATTACAGGTGTGAGCCACTGCCCTGGCTTCTTGTGATCATCTTGCCTCAGCCTTCCAAGTATTATGGGATTATGGACAGTGCCACTGTACCCAGCTTACTTCCTTCTTAAAAGGGAACCCTTAAGAAATTTTACTTCCGTTTTACCTTAATCTTTGATTTTCTTTCACCCTCTAGTCACTTCTTACCCAGCAAAAGGCACCACTGTGTATCCAGAAGCTGCAGTCCAAAACATACTTTTTGTCTCTTAATAGCTTCATCTTCTTTTGCCTATATTCTTTAATCATTCCCCAACTATACTTGGGCCACATGCACCTTTCTGTTCTTTGTACTTAATAAGATTTTTCTGATTTTAGGGCCTCTACACTGTTACCTCTGCCTGGAATGTTTTCTTCCCCAGTTGTTTGCACTGTAGACTTTGTTTTATCATTCAAGTCAGCCTAATTTTTATCTTGGACACTTTGTATAATATAATCACCCTGTTTAATTTTCCTCAGATAAAAAGTAGATTGACATCTTAGTTGGCCAGCCTACTGCTCATATTGGGGTATGAATTTCAAAGTATTTTACTAGGTTAGATTCACCCTTACATGTCAGACCCTTGTTCTGAAAGGAATGGCCATGAACAATATATTAAATCCATTCTCTGGAATGATAATAAAATACTGAGATCAGATGGAAGTTACCCACTCCTGAATGAAGATACTCAGGACTGCAATGGCAGAAATGAAATTAATAGCAGAATAGTATAAATGCAAGATCCTAATAAGTATTTTCTAACTATCAGCCTGAGAGATATGTCTTCCTTTTTTTTTTTTTTTTTTTAATATTTTCTAGTTGTCAGTGAATCCTTTCCTTTAAATGCGGTGCTGAGGATCGAACCCAGGGCCTCACATCTGCCAGGCAAGTGTTCTACCAGTGAGCCACAACTCCAGCCCCTTCCTGGGGTTTTTACATCCACAGAAAATAGAGCTTTCAATTTGTCTTGAATCCCATGCCTACAAGTTTAAACTGTCTGTATTTTGGCTCACAAGTAGGGATATTTAGGTGAAGGCAACTACATGTGTCTAAAGTCCTAATTTCTGAATTAAAACTAGTTTTATTATTTGCAAACTAGTATAAATAAAACATAGAAGTGGAAAATAAGAGTGATGAGGGAAAAAAAGTCCAGTTATTGGAATAATAAAAATCAGTGTATAAATTATAAGTAGGCTTTTATTTTTAGTAAAAACATTGTTTAATAATAAACTACATACTTAATAAAATGTTAAAACCAGAAGTTAAAGGCATATTGAGGAAGAATTTTTAAAAATTTAATTTTAAATGAATTTTTTACATATGAATGAACCCGAAAACTCAGAAATTTTGAAGTTTTTCTGGAAAATATAAAGTTGATTATATTTTCCATTAGAGAAGCAATGTTAAAATATGGGATCATCTCCTATATGTGCAAGGATTCACATTCCAATAAATCACTGGTCTAGCCTCAGTCAAATGCAAAAAATACAATTCCTCTAAATGAAAGTCTACACTAATTTACAATAAGAGTCCTAGTTCTAAATGAGCATAAATATATGGAACATACACATTACGAAGGAACTTTGTGTACCACAAAGTACATATGTAAGAGAAAACACATGACCTGAAATACTTAGAATTTTTGTCATCTTAGAATTTCAAATGCTGCTACAGAAAATAAATGGAACAAGACTCAAAAAAGAAAAAAGGTATCCAAATATCTTAACACTTTTAAAGCAGTATTTTAAATTAGTCTTTTAAGGTAGTTGTATTTTTTGTATTTATGACAGACTGAGGCTAGACCAGTGATTTATTGGACTGTGAATCCTAGAACAGAGTATGATCCCATATTTTAACATTGTTTCTCTACAGGAAAATATATTCAACCTTGTTTTAGAAATTGTAGTGATGAGAAATCTCAAAATGATTTTCCACAACGGATATTTTAGCCTAATAATCTGCAATCCAAAAGCCTTCCTAGTACGTTTATGTAGTAACTAAGAGTATTTGCTCCAATTCTTATTTCATGTTATTTTAGGAATTACTTTGGATTTAATTCTTGCTTTGGTGCTGATAGGGCTCAATGTGGTCTTTGTAGCACCTTCTTCTTTTGGGCACCAGTGAGGCTTTGCTTGCAGTCTTTGCTTCCCCCTGATTAAGCATTCCTGATACCACTGTTCCTGCTCCAGCTGCTGCTTCTGGTTTTCTAACTGGCTTCGAGCAGCCTTCAACTTCTTGGATACCTCAAGTAGCTGCAGTAATTCCTCCTGTAACTGTAGGTTCTCTTTGTAGACCCCACGGCAGAACTCAAAACTAGACTTCTGTGCTATGGACTCCAAGGTCTGTGCCTTAATAAATTTTTTTCTCTCTCCTGACTGCTTCTTGTATGGATTAGTCAGTTGCTTCTCCAGGAGTGCTTTTTGCTGGAGGAACTGCAAGTGTGCTTTCTGGTCCTTTAGTGGTGTTTCAGCTTTGATTTTCTCTTTCTCCTTTTCTAAGGACTCTATTCTCATGTCCTGTTTCTCCTTTATTTTTGAAATGGCCTTCAACTGCTCTTTTAAATTGGCTTGTGTCTTTTCCCCCTGCAGTTGTTGTGTTTTAAGGTCTGAAGTTTGCTTTGCATATTTGGAGGATAATTCTTGTCTCCTTTTTTCTATTGCCCCACATTTTTGGAAATACTCCTTCCAGAGGTCTTCATGTAGCTGTCTACAGTGCTTATTTTTCTGGGCTAGGTATTCCAGAAAGAATTTGCTGTCAGCTTCAACAAGTAACTTTTCCTTGTGTAGTGCTCTGCATTCCTCCAGTACCAGGTCCCTGTGAATTTGAACTTCTTCCATTTCCTTGTTTAGCTTCTTCAGTGCCAACACTGTCTTTCCTTTAACCCTTTTCTCCCACTTTGTTAGCTTGTCTGGTGTGAAAAATTTATGTAACATACTTAGATACGCTGATGTATGAGGACTCATGTGGGTCTCAGCAAACCTGAAGAACAAATGAGACATTTGTCAGTTCTTAGTGACAATTTAGGAAATAAAAATAAACAAAACCCCCACAAAATTGTCCTTTATTCCTAAAAAAAAAAAAAAAAAAACTCTTCCAGCTCCTATTATATTCCAGACACTATGCAAGTTATGGAGGAAACAACTAAGTGTAGAGATCAGTAATGTAGCTTATAATCCTCAGAGATGTATTCCCTACAGTCCCGGGAGGTATTAGGTCAATTTTACAAAGGAGAAAACAGGTTTAGGAGTGTAAGTGATTTGCC